GAGGAATTTTGCTCAATAAAGAAAATGTGAAAAAAATCAGAAACCTCCATGGTGGGGGCGAGCTGAAGGAGAGAAATGGGTGATGGAAGAAAGAAAAATTATAATAAAATTTCTTGGTTGTATCCACAGCAGGTGTGCCAGCATTACCCCAGCAGCTACAGCTCCCATGCAGACAACAATAGGATGATAACTTGGGGTCCTCCTGAGCCTCCTTGGCCCCAAACCTCACAGGGACATGGCCCATCAATGCACTGGAATTTTTATTCAAGAACTGTATATTTCTAGAGAATGTCTTTTCCTACCCATGCAGGATGCATACTTAAGAATGCAAACTTCTTGGTTTTTCTCAATATGTGTTTTGTAAATTAAATTGTTTTAATTTGATTTTATTTTAAAATATTTTTTATTGAGGTTTGTGTTTTTCAATGATAGATCTCATTCATCTGCATGTCCCCATAGCTCCCCTATAAGATTTCATGCATTCTGTCATATATGTTACATGATGTTGAATTTTTGTGCATTCATACAGCCCATCTTAACCAGAGGTGTCATATTTAGACCCACTTCCCCATCTGCACTTCCCAGAGACCCCCCACCAACAAATTTCATGTATTCTGTCATATATTTTAAGGCTTATTTAGTCAAGTTTGTGGACCCAGATGTCCCTTTGTGTGAGTTTACCCACAGCAGGATAGTTAGTCAATCTAGAGTCACTCCCTTAAAGACTTAAAGAATATCAACTCTTCCTCACCCAGCAGTAATCAGTTGTTTCTATAATTTTCCGAAAGTGTTTCAAAATCTGTGAGACACTCAGAGGTTAGTATCTCACTATTCAAGTAATGAAACCTTTGACAGAAAATGGTCAAGATCTTTGAATACCAGTTGACCTCAGGAGTCCCCCGGGGAGGGACATTAAAGAACCTTAGTAAATCCAACACAGCATTTAAAGTTGTTATTACTTATATCTGTTGTTTTCTTAGAACAGTGATGTTGGGTTCAGTGGCCTGGATGGGGTGCATCTCTATAATCCATAATAATCTTTCAGGCATTGCCGCTCCTCCAGTTATAGCACTATCTTGGGATCTCCACCAGAGATCTCCCCACTCTTGATGAGCTTGGTAAATGCAAATTTATTTTTCAAACGATAATAATTTTCATGTGGTGTATTCTAACTCTAGTATGCCTTGGGAGTGACTTAAGTGGAGGAAATGGAAAACGTAATGTATTTCACTTTCAACTATAAGCTGATAGACAAAGCCAGAGACCAGGTCACATGATATTTGACTCAGGTGGTAGAAAACGTTCTGGCGACATCTTTCTTTTGAATCAGCTCACAAGATATGAATATTTGGAGGGTCTGTTTAGAGCATGGACTCCTCACTGGGCATGGCTCAGAAGCATAAAATGGCCAATATGCCATATTCAGTCCTTGTAGCAGGGAAAAACCTCACTGGGTCCAAGTGCCTAACACAAGCTATTATCTGTGCATTTGGGGATAAACATAGTTCTTGTGCAAGGTGGGCACTGATCTGCCCACCCTTGTTCCTCATTTGTTATAAATGTTCAAGGAAGAAAATTAAAATGCAAACCAAACTGGGATCTATGAACAAAATTAAAAGTGCCCAGTGAAGTGCCCTTTTTCATTTCCTGACCTTAGATGAAATTTTAATTTAAAAAATAGGAATGATTTTGGGGAGCTGGAGCGATGGCTCAGTGGTTAAGAACTCTGGTTGCTCTTGCAGAGGACCCAGGTTTGAATCCCAGCACCTACCTGGTGACTAACAACCATCTGTAGCTCCAGTTCCAGGGGAATCCAATGCCTTCTTCTGACCATAGCAGCATTGCATGACACAGGTGCACTTACATACATGCAGGCAATACACTCAGACACATAAATTAAAAATAATAAAGCATTTTAAAAAAATGTGAATGTGTTTGAAAAGTGCAATTTGATGATAGTATAGATGTCTATGTTGTAACTTAACTCACAGTTTATCTAATTAACACATCTCATCAATAAAGTTATTTTCCTTTATTTTTTTTATAGTGAACCATTTAACATCTACCCTCTTGACAAACTTGAAGTGTATGGTGCAGTAATATTGTCTCTAACACTACAGAGCTGTGTGGGAAATGTGAGAGGTGCTGACCACAGGGGACACTATGCAGATAAAGCCAGATGATGAATGTCCAGAGATCCGTGCCTACCACAATGGCTGTGGCTTGTAGACATTCTGATGGAGATGATGGTGGGTGATGGGGGTCATCTGAGCTTTGCAGAGGGTGAAGTTGAAACCTGGCACCTCTGTGACATTTTCATGTGTTCTTGGCCCCTGCCATATTATATTGAGCAGAAGCTGTGTGGTCAACAAGAAGTGATATTTGCAAAGTGTGAACAGGGTTTGTGGTGACCACATCCTGGGTTCAGGTTGTAGAAAATGTTCTTGGAACATCTGGCTCATTTGTTAACATTAGTGCCCTACAGAACAATAATGCTTTCCCAGGTGCTCATGATAAGCCTTCTCTGTCAGGTTCTCTGGGCCCTTTGTTTCCTTAGCAAAGAAGTGACTACATATGGTCAACAATGCCTTAAAAATTTCCAATACAAACTATATTTGATATTTGGCATCCTTACCCCCTAGCCTCATTTCAACAGCACACAAGTTCTGTGTCCACAGGAGGGTTGTTCTATCTGATGAGCCCCTTTCTGTGCTCATCATACTGAGAATCTCTGGAAACTCTGGTCACAGGGATTAATGGCAGTCACTAGTTGTTCCTGCCGAGCACCCACATCCAGTAGACCAAGAATGGAGCTGGTGGAGGCAGATGCCACAGTTATTGAAATGTAAATATTTGAATCAGAGTCTTGGGTTCAACTCATCCCTCTGATTTTCTAGTCACTATACTCATGAATATCGATTTCTTTATCAGATAATCAAGCTAAGTATACCCCACACACTAAGGATAAGCTGGGCCTGTACAGGTAAATGTCCTGCAACCCCTAGAGTGGGTCTTGATTTTGATAATGTATTCAACATGTGACCTATCATTCTGGGCACTCACTTCCTCTTTCCTGAATCTACATCACCCCCAACTCTGTATGATTGGAAAGGGACACCAAGGTTCTTTGGAGCAGGTACAAGTTTTATTGAACTTTGGCTGAGTCTCCATCAAGTTCTCTGAAAATGCACTTGTGGTTGTTAGGAGGACCAGGGAAATGGCGCTCCGTCATGGCAGAAGTAGGGCTTCATGTTGATGAGAAACACATAGAGTTTTCTCGGGGAAGCAGGAGAAGAGCTCACTGTAAACTGCGACAGACCTGCTGGATCCCCATTCTCTCCTTGCTGGCCCATTGATCTGAAAAGTGGTTTCCTGTTTTTAGAACACGTTCTTAGAAAAGAGAGAAAGTAGGCGGTCACAATTTTAAAAAATCATATAACGTTTAGGATAATAGGAAACAAGATCTCAGTATGTACTGAACCAAAGTAGGCACTTAGGAAATGGTCACTTTTAGAATTTCCTCACTGACATACTAGTTTAAAGCCTCAAAGTCAACCCACAAAGCTCATGGACCATCAGAAGCCCTGCTTTCCATGGGAATTCTCTGCTGCAATCTTGCGATAATTAAATTGATTTCCTACTTGATTAGATCGGGAAAGTCCTATTTTTCTTCCTCATTTTTTTTTACTAGTTTTTTGAGAATTTCATCCACATATTTGGATCATATTCACCCCTCCCCAAACTCCTACCAGTCCACCCCCTTCCTAATCTACCCAATTTGATGTCCTCTCTTATCTTTTAAACTCATAAACCCAGTTTGCACTGCCCATATTCTCTAGGGGATGTGGCCCTCCATTGGAGCACTGTTGACCTACCAGGGGGTCACACTCTTAGACCACTGCATTCATGTCTACAGGCTGATGTCTGCAGTTTGTCAAGTGTGATAATATGCTACTTAAAACCTGTCCCTTGTTTTAACTGACCATCCACACCACCTGCCTCTCCGTCCAGTGCGGCTGCAAACCTAAAGAAGATGGTCCATGGAAGTGGAAATGTCAAGGGGTCATGAGATTAGAGGGGACTCTGGGCTGGTCAAGGTGAGCCAGGAGTGGTAGGAAAAACTTACTCACATGCTTACAGGAAGACACAGTTCTCCTGTATTAGGGATAAAAGTCCCCCAGGCTTCTGGGTTCTGTGTGTACTTGCTGAATGTGACTGATCTGATTGCAGAGTTAAAAAAAAGGAAGGTGACTTTGTCTCATGGGATGTAGGTGACATGCAGGATTATCCTGCATGAATTCCTTCTCTCCAGGATTATCTTTTTACTTCTCTCATCATGTGACTTTCTACCATAGAAATTTCACCCAAATTAGACTATGCCTCCAACTAAACACACTTCACACAACCATGTGATGGGGAACCACCAGCCTCTGAAGGCCACACCCTGTGTTGCCTGCCCATCAGGACATTCAGTGTGGCCCGGTGTGGAAGCGTATCTTTAGTCACTGGGAGGAGATGTCATGGCCTTGACATTTATAGTCCTTTTCTGTCTAGGTGAGATATGAAGTGGGTGAGGGGACAAGTGGGATCTGGAAGGGGCGTTGGACCATCAGGAAGAATTGGAGGGGTTCAGGTATTAAGGATAAGCTCTAAATGGGAACTCTGTTCCAGGACTGAGTCTGGGCCATAGGACCTCAGTGCTGACAGGTGAGTGTACCCCCAGATGTCTCAGACTGTGCCTCACAACTTGTGGCCAGAGACCTCCTCTGGACAGTAGGGATAAATAAAAGAGGGTATAGGCTAATCTTGGGGATGCCTGGAGTGTCCTGAGGCTGAGAGCTGGGATCCCAGGGGAAAATATATTTAGATCCTTCTGATTCCTTTGCAGGGATCCTCCCGAAGCCTAACATCAGGGCTGAGCCAGGCTCTGTGGTCAGCTTGGGTCAGCAGGTGGCTATTGTGTGTGAGGGGACCAGAGACGCCCAGGGGTACAGTCTTTATAAGAACACAAACCCAGTTCCCTTGGACAGAAAGACCCCATTGGAACCCAGGAACAAGGCCACTTTCTCCATCCCATTCATGGAAGAAGCCAGTGCAAGGCAATACCTCTGTTACTATCAGACACCTGCGGGCCGGTCGGAGCGCAGCAACATTCTGGAGCTGATAGTGACAGGTGAGAGGATACACGTTTATCTCATTCATAGGCTCGGTGCTCAGGAAAGGGGTCCTCTGCTCCCTGGACACTTCCCCTTTCATGGTCTACTCCTGCTTGACAATTTGGGAACATTTAACAGGCTGCTTCCTTTTTTCCTAGGAGTTTACAACAACAAACCCACCCTGACAGCCCTGTCTAGCCCTATGGTGACCTCAGGAGGGAACGTGACCTTACTGTGTGTCGCACAGAGATATGACAAGTTAATTCTGATTACAGAAGATCAGAAGTTCTCCATTTCCCTGGACTCACAGAAGATAAACATTGGGAAGGTCCAGGCCCAGTTCTCTTTGGGCCCTGTGAACCCCAGCAACAGAGGGGTGTTCAGATGTCATGGCTCCTATAAGGGAAACCCATGGGTGTGGTCAGAACCCAGTGACTCCTTGGAAATACACGTCTCAGGTGAGGCAGCACCATTATTAAGCTAATTATATTTTGAGACTAAAATCCTTTGTCATGAAGCCTATTCCTAAGAGAGTCCCAGGTGGGTGTGTGGCTGGGCAGAGCTCCCAGATGCTGAGGCAGACCTCCAGAGATTAGAGGCAGTGAAACCTTCAGGGCCGCATTGGAAAGGACAGATATTCCCCAGAGTCTACATCCTCGACACCTGGATCATTTTCTTTCCAGGGATGTCCAGGAAGCCTTCCTTGCTGACCCCAAAAGACCCTATTCTGGCCCCTGGAGAGAACCTGACACTGAAGTGTTCTTCTGATAGTGGTCATGACAGATTTGCTCTTTCCAAGAAGGGCAGAATTGATCTCTTTCAGAAACCTGGCCATTATCTCCGGGCTGAGATCTCTCACGCCAGCTTCCCCTTGGGCCCTGTGAGCAGCTCCCATGCTGGCCAGTACAGATGCTATGGTGCACACAACTTTTCCTCTGAGTGGTCAGCCCCAAGTGATCCACTGGACATTCTGATTAAAGGTGAAGAGCCCAACAAATTTAGTCAGGTTCTAAGACTCCATAGGCTCCCCCCTTAGGAAGCCCACGTGATGGAGGCTAGGTTCTCATGTGGGAATATACAGAGTCTGGGGAGTAGGGGAGGGACAGAGTCAGAGAAAACACACAGACAGAGTCTCAGACACAGGTTCAGAACATGGAGCACAGCCCCTCACCTATCCTTCATCTCTTTAAGACAGCTTCCTGTCACCCCTCCTATGCAGTGCTTAAATGGTAGTGAAGGGATCTTAGGGACGCTCGCTCAGTTAGAGGATAATTCATCCCATAGACAGAGACAAACAGAGGTCTTTTAGGCAATGTACACTTAAACCCTTTACTAGAATTCAGATAGTTCCAGGCAGACATCAGGGAGGTTGGGATGCCAAGGGCAGACATAGGACAGTGAGAAGAGATCACAGTCTCCCTCCCCTCAGCCTCTTCTTGTCTTCATTTCCAGAATCCTCCACGCTCCCCAGTTCCTCATGGACCTCAGGGTCCATCCCAACAATTGGTAAGTGTCTGGGCCCCCTGCCCAGGTAGTTTGTTCTGTCTCCAGGTTTCCTAGAGACTTGGTCCATCTATGTTGTGGTTCCCATCAGCTCATCTGTGTCCGGTACTTAAGCAGAGATCACAATGAGAACCCCAGGGAACCAGAGACTTAGAGACTGGATCACAGAGAGAAATTCAGGCAGAGAGAAATGTTCAGGCTCAGCTAGGAGAGGAGCATTTGGAGAAGGTGGAAAAACAGGATCTGGACTCTCCCTCGGGTCCTCATTCTTCCCCAGCGGGCCTTGCAAACCAGCCCCTCAGCCTCATGGAATCAGGCCCCCTGACAGTGCTCAATGAGGGCTGTGTTAGGAGGTGGGTTTACGGGGTAAAAGACGTTATGGGGTTGGTAAATCCTCTTCTGGACATATGGACTTGGACAAGCCTCCTGTCTGGGCCTCCGTTTCTTCAACAGTAAGGAACGGAGGACTGCCCTAAACCTTTCAGTTCTGACCTTGGCTTGTTATGGGGTTGGTAAATCCTCTTCTGGACATATGGACTTGAACAAGCCTTCTCCTGTCTGGGCCTCCGTTTCTACAACAGTAAGGAACGGAGGACTGCCCTAAACCTTTCAGTTCTGACCTTGGCTGTGACCTCTCCTGGCAGAGGAGGCCTCCACAACCTGATTCTACTGTAGGCCTGTCCCCTTTGCCACAGTGATGGTAGCATTGTGAGGAGCAGGCCACAGGGACATGTCAGAACATTCAGGCTTCTTCCCTCCAGCTTCTGGGTTCAGCTCTGGTGCAGAGAACAAGTCTGGAAGTCAGATATTCTGGGTTCAACCCCAGCTTTGCGTCTTCTTCCTGGGTGACCTGGGGCAGGTGAACTGACTGATTGGAAGGGGAGACAATCCCATGTTGTGAGGGAGGGGGTGGTGAATGAAAAGACCCAGCATGAGCTTGGTACACAGTAGGTGCTCAAGTAGTTGCATCATTCCTTATTAAAGATGTTACTTATGCCCTAGGACTGGAAAGGTACCAGAAGGTTCTGATTGGGGTCTCGGTGGCCTTCTTCCTGATGCTCTTCCTCCTCCTCCTCCTTCTCCAATGCAGGTGTCAGGGTAAACTCAGGATGAAAGGTGTGTAGACCGTTGGTGATAGAGTCCCCAAGAAGTGGTGGGCCCCCTTTTGTGTCATCTAATCAGGAGCTCAGGACAAAACCAGCCAGACTGGGGCAGGTCAGCTTAGAAACGCTTCCATGGCATCGCAGATCAGAAATATGTGACCCCTGTCTGTCCCTGTGTGAATGTCAGGTATTCTGTGAGATTTATCATCTCCTGGAACATTTGCACACTTACTCCATATGTTGTAAAGTTCTCTCCCTTCTCTGCAGGTGCCTGGGGGAGGGGTGTCCCACCTTCCAGGCTGATTCCTCCCTTTCTTGCAGTCCAGAGAGAGATGGACTTGCAACATCCTGGAGGGCTACAGAGGTGGTACTCAGAGACAAAAGCACTCAGAAAAGGTAAATCATGCCCAGAAACCCAGAGTCCCACCTGCCTGATGCCTTTCACTGGTACCTGAAAAACCCTTATCTCCCTAGCTCCAGCCAAACTGCTGCCATCCATGAAGAACTCTTGTGTGAGAAGACAGCCCTGGGGAGGGGTCACAGGGGTAGTAGGGAGGATTCAGGAGAGCATTCTGTAGGACTGATCACCACACAATGGACCTGGGGACATCACTGCACTCCCTGGCTCCCTATCCCCATCTGTGACATGACAGGGATCTGAGGGACTGGGAAACCCCAGCACTCTTGCCAGGACACAGCCTTCTTGTTCTGCCATGACAGATGCATCTTTGAAGGACACACAGCTCGAGGACAGCATGGAGCTGGACATTCAGGTGAGACCTGTGTCCCCATCCACAGTGCTGGGAACATATGGCTGGCATAGTCAATTCTCTGTAGCTGTTCTCTGTCCTCCTCTCTCAGCTCTCCATGTCATCCACAGCTGATGCCTTCCTTCATGCTATGGCATACTGTCTCCTGGTTTTTGTGTGACTGTAACCTTTCTCTTTCTGGATGCTTGTGTGGTTGGTAGCATACTTCTCAGCTCACATAATATAATAAAGACTCCAAGACCCCCCTCTTCCGCTCATAGACTCTGTCATCCACAGATAGCCCTTCATGGCCTGGCTCCTTAAAGAGAGTGCAGATACGGCTGGGAGAGGAGTTCCCCTGAGAGAGCCTAGAGAGTGTGTGGACACCACATACTACTAGATGCAGTCTGAGCAGTGCATAGAAAGAAGTTAGGGAAACGAGAAAACGTGGTTGTCAGGTGTGGGACAGAGTTCCCAGTGAGTTGCACAAGGGAGGCTTTGAAAGGTATCTTCTCAGGAGAAGCCTGTATGAACAGCTACACACAGCCATCAATGGGTCACTACCACAGGATGCAGGATGTGCAAAGCGAGAGGCAAGAACATGGATTATATGTGTGAAACCAATATAGCAGAGGGCAGAATTTTAGAATCTTAAGTCAGAAGTTCAAGAAGGAAGATGCTAGACCCCCTAAAGGCAGCCACTAAAGATCCAGTCAGAAATGACAAAACGTGCTTTAAACTGTATTCTAAGTATTTCTATTCACACCATCAAGTAAGGATTGCTGTCTGCCTTGGCCAAAGAAGCTTCTTTTGTTATGAGCAACAGTTAATACAGAGGCATATCCTGAACTGTTGTGTTTGAATACGCCCTAAATAGGACATCGATATTATCCCAAACAAGGCTCAAGGATCATCATGGAAAGGGAAACAGAAAGGATTTGAGAGCTTAGGATATGGAGGGGCTCTATAAAACACTGTCTTCGGTATGTGCCATGACTAATGTATCCATGGACACACAGCAGCTCTGGATAGCTGCACAGGATCTGCACACACACACACACACACACACACACACACACACACACAATAAGACATGAAAATAAGAAAACTAGCTAGGAAGAAGAAAGGAGGTCTGTAGGAGTTACAGGGGATAAGAGAGGAAAACAGGGTGAATGTGTTCCTAATACACTGGACATATGTGTATGTATATGAAATTGTCAGACACAAATATATGCACACATGAATTTGTCAAAAAATAAACTTAATAAAAGAAAGAAAAGTTAGGAACTAGGAGAGACCATATTTCTTTAAGAAACTTCTAAAGACTCTCTGGCCATCATGTGGAAACTGGCTGGAGGAGAGTTCAAGTGATATCAGGAGATACTGGGTCTCTCAATGACTTCTTGTTGCAGAGCCCACCTGATGAAGACGTCCATGGAGTGATATATGCCCAGGTGAAATCCTCCACCAGGAGGGCAGAGGCCTCTCTTCCTTCCCCTGAGTTTGAGGACTTCTTGGAGAGACAGGCAGGAAAGGACAGAGAGATGTATAATCAGGTGGGTCCCAGGTTCCCTACATCAAGCATCTAATCAATATCTCTCTCTCTCTCTCTCTCTCTCTCTCTCTCTCTCTCTCTCCAGTCTGCTGCATTTGAGGATGGCCAAGACACAACGTATGCCCAACTGTGCAACTTGACACCAGGGCAGGGACAGCTGAACCCCTTCCTCCTGGACAGAGAAGTTACAGCTGAGAGCAGAGAACACCTTGGTCTGGCCTCCCCAACCTAGGAAGGCCCTGGCTCCACACCCTGAGGGAGACTCAGGGACATCTGAGGGGGCAGGATCTGCCCCCAGAGGACAGTTACTAATGAACCTAGGTACCATGCATACCTTACCTGCCACAGGTGGGAACTTTGAGAACTCACTTGATTCTACAGTCAGAGAACTAATGTCCCTACATTTTGTAAATAAAGCAAAAGCCTTGTCAGTTATATGAATGGAGTGAGAAAAGAAAAGTGAAGTCAGAGAATGAATTTAGTTGAATTATAATATATCCACGGTACATTGATCCATGAAACTCGAAAACTCCATGACTGTGAACAAATGCCTAAGAAAAGATAATGCCTTCAAAATCAATGACCTCCTCTATTGTATTGATAATAGACAGAAATTAACGACTTATTCCAAATGAGGGCATAAGAAAAGTAATAATGCATAATAAGCGTAGCTATTAGCTACGCTTAGTGTTTAGGGCAGTAACTCCAGCTAATCATGAGACTGAGGAAGGAGAACCACTGTTGACTTAGTTTATTAACCTATTTACCAACTGAATGATTTATTGTTTGGGAGTTTAATTTTTCTTAGAATTTTTAAAAATGATTTATTTAATAACAACATACTTAGAAGAAGCATATCATTACAACACAATTGACATATTCAATAACGTTTTCCTGAAGTAGGATGCATCTCTTTCAAATTTGGCTGTAAATTTTTAGGCTTACAGTTGAATTATTACAGTTATACAATATTGTACTCAGTATAAACCCTATAAGACATAAATTAAATGATGTTTTAACCTTTAAAAA